TGTACGATTTGATGAGTAAATAGTACAAGCATATAAGTCAAAGTTTATCTGTTCCTTTTATCCTAGGAGGTTAAAAGTGATATCTTGGGCCCCTCGATGATTCAATGTTGACTTATGTGTCGGGCCCGGTCAGGACTGAATTGATGTGTTCAATTAATTTCTATGTCAAACAAATCAGAAGTCGGGAAACAAACTGTTGGACATTGAGAATGATTATGTTCCATGTCATTGTCCACACGATATCTTGCAGAACGGAGGATTATATGATCCCTTATCTAAAGGACGCGTCATTGACTAGGTCAGATTTCGATAGTGGATTTTGAGAGTTACGATTGCTAATCGGATTTTGAAGTCGTACTTGCAGTTATAGTTATTAGACTTATCCAAGTGGGAGACTGTTGGATTAGGTGTCTAAGCCCATAAATATAATTGGTATGTACTTGACCCGATAGTAGCATGGTCCTTTTGGGTTGCCTTCACCATAGCAATTTGATAGGATGAGTTTTGGAGAAAGAGGTTAATTAATGATTTATTAATATATTATAAGAATAATATATTTATTGATCAGAAATTAATTTGGAATTAATTTAGTGAATCAAAAGAGACTGATTAAAAGTATAGGGAATGATATTGCAGATCGTTGATAGTTGCAATATTGGGCTGCTGGACTCCCTTGTAAAGGGTTGGACGAAATCTATAGGAGGCCTTATAGAACTCGTCCAAGGCCTTCTAGAAAGGGGGTTTAATATGGACTGCTTGTAGCCTAAGTCAAGAATTAGGGTTTCCACCTAGAAACCCTAGCAGCCACAAGTATTTAAAGACCCCTGACCTCTCACTTTCGGCCACTGCTTCCAAGGGAAACTCTAGTCGAAATTCTGCTCTCCTTCTTCTCCTTCTTCTCATTCTTTGCTTGTGGTGTTTGTGACTCCATTAGAGGTGCAATGCTTGAGGCACTAAGATCTTGAAAGTCAAGAACAAGGAAATGATTGCTTGTTACTACTAGTTAAGAAGAAAGGTATTCTTCTAACCCTAGTTTATTCATTGAATCCGAAAATTGTATGCTAATTTAGGGTTCTTGCTTTGGAAAATTGATTTGCATGTATAACTTGAGAAAAAACTAGATTCAAAGCAATTAGGGTTGCATGTGCACCATAGGAATGTTGTAATGCTCAAAACCCATTAAATCTAAGTCCTTGTGCTCCTACCTTCTTCATGAATATCGACTGCTACTTAAACCTACAAAACATGAAACATCTCTACTACATCATGTAACAATGTTTGGTGAGTTATAATCTATTATGTTTTCATGTTAATCTACTCTTATTTTGTTTTTCTCTACAATATAATATATTTCTTTCATGGCATACACTGCTATTCTCTTTCATCTTATTTATCGCATACTCTATCTTCTACTCTTCTTTTCTAATCTTTTCCTCTCATCTATAGTGCCTTAGCATTCTATTATTTGATTCTCATATTATATCTTCTAATATTCTTCTCTAATAGCATACATTGTTATTCTTCCCATTCATTTATCTCATTTATCTTTCTTAGCCTCTTCCCAGGCTCATCTCATAATATATACATACTCTATCTCTACCTCTGCCTCTACCTCTATATCTTATCTACTCTTCTCTTTATACTTCTATCTCTCTCCACACTCTAGTTCATCTCATCTTTCTCTGCTATTCTCTATTCTCTATGCATGCTTTTCTCTATCTCTTACTTTGTTATTCTCATATCTCTAACTCTTAGTATGCCTTCTCATAATCATCTTGCTTCATCCCATATTTCTCATCTTGATCCATTACAGACCCCTTGACATTCTCTTTCTTATTTTGAATCTCTCATAGATTCCTTACTCTTATTCCTTTACGAATTATCTCTAAGTTCTTAAAAGAACTCCATTACCTTGTTCCAATCATGGAACCTTTTCTCTATCTTTTCATACAATATTTATTCCCAAATAAACTTGTATCTCTTCTCTACTATTCTCTTCATCTTTCTAAACATTTATGTCTCTATTATGTGACTCATCACCTAATACTTGTCCCATATACATTCTATATCTTTATCTCATCAAGAGATATTCTCCTACACATCTAGTACTTAACTCATTAACTACTTATTCGTTATCTATGTTTAATAACATATAGGTATTCTATACAATACCATTCATGTCTAGACATACATACATACACTTATGATTATACTACATATAATCATTCTCTATCTCTATCTACAATCTCTTAGGTATCCATATATACCTTTTCTCATTATCCACTCATACATAGGATTATAATACATATAATCCCATTCTTTCTTTATCAACTCTTAAAGGTATTACTTATAGTACCCTTTTTCTTTCTCTATACATCTCTACATAGTTTAGCTATACACACATGCTCATTCATATGACCTTAAATGTATAGCCACAAATATATAATCTTATATAAGATTATAATACATATAATCTTCTTCTTTATTTCTCTTGGTCATGCTCAGATACATGACTCTCACATACAAACACACACACACACATACACACATACACACACACACACACACACATATATATATATATATATATATATATATATATAATCATAAAGAGAGTGTGAGAGTTTTAACTTACCTTAGTAGTTAGTGAAGACTAACTACCACTTGGATTCTTTCTTCCATTGATGCAATTTTTATCCATCTACTTTTCTCTTAGGCCTATTCATACACATATACAACTTCTCAATACTTGTCTTAGCCTATTAAGAGTTTAATGACTTTTATGGTTAAAATGACCACTTAATGGATCATATTTCAAACTTCTCATTTTCTACTTCTTAATCTTTTCCAACTAATGAATTAAGCATCCCATACTACATAATTCATTATAATCTACATCTAATGTATGAATTCACTAATCACTAGTTAGGGCTTCAAACCCGAACTCTCATTTGATTTATCCCATAATGGAAATCGCTTTCTAAGCTTGATTAAATCATCTAAATACTCTCATTTACATCATAATCAAGCTATAGGTTGATCAATTCATCCAATCTACACAAACTAACAATTTCACCAAATTAGAGAAATCTTACCTTATTGTGGAGAGGATGAAAATCCTTACAATCCACCATCTCTAGCTTGTCTTGACACCATTTGAGCAACAAAATCGCCCTTCTAAGCTCTCCAATCGATTTCTTCTTTGAAATGATCAAAATATGCTCTAACAAGTTTAAAACCCGTGTTCTGATTACGTAACCACGTCGTGTTTATACTCTTACCATTCTGTGGTGTGGGCTGTTAGGCCATGGTCAACCTCTGGCCGTGTCGCGGTGCTAATCTCCCATAACCGTCTATTGTGGTCACCCAATAAACAACTAGAAACAATCTTTTGTTTGTTACTCCATGATTTTTTTTTATTATTACCATAACTACATGTGAAACGACCTTTTTTTCCTTAACTCCTTAATAAGGTTAATGACCTAGGAGGATAACGAACTTTGATTTTTGTCCATATTTACATAACTATGTTTTTTTTGTACATGTTTGACCATTAAACTTGTTTGACTTATTCAAAATAGGGTAATATGACTGGTAATTTCCGGTGATATTAACCTATTATGAACAGGACAAACAAGTTTACTGGTCAAATATATATGAAAAAAATTTGGTTACCGAAATATGGACAAAAACCAAAGTTCCTTACGCGTTTTGGTAATATTGGGTTCTTTTTATATGCTAAGTGCAAGTAGTCATAAGACCTACTGAGGCGACGTAGAATTGGGCCATCATGTCTTTTTGTCAGATCTAGAGTAGGTATCGTTAGCGGGTTCCTGACTTGATTCATAACTGCCACCAGAGAACAAAATCATTAGAACCGTGTCAGGGACTGTGCCCTGGGAGCAGGTTGCGACAATCAAGTTAGATCAATGTGTATAAGGAGATGGTTTCTCCTACATGGAGAACCATCTTGTTAGGAAGAGTATGTGTATACATGAAGACTCATGTTTGAGAATGAGAAATCTTCCTTGTGGAGGATGAGTTGTTCTATTTATAGATCTAGGTCAACAGACAACTAGGTTAGGCTTGGGTCATCCCGGTTCAGGCACAACTAGTCGTGTGCTAGGTTGTGCTACCAGGCCTCTAAAGCGCACACAACCCAACCCCTGACTAGTTGGGCCTAAACTAGGCTGGCCCAAGACTTGACCATCTCCACATACACATCGATTTAATTTGAGCGTCAGATCCTCGTCCCGAATTACAATCCCTGAGGCGGTCTAATGGTTTTGTTCTCTAATGACAGTTAGGAATCAAGTTGGGAACTCACTAACAACACCTACTTCACATCTACAATCCATATTTGCCACCAAGACCGGATAACCTGATTCCATGTCACATCGGTGTCTCTTATGACTACTTGCATTTAGCATAAAAAAACCTAATATTACCAAAACGGGTAAGAAACTTTGGTTTTGTCCACATTTAGGTAACCATGTTTTTTTCGTACAAATTTAACCGATTCACAAGACTGTCCGTAATATGGTATTATCATCGGTAATTACCAACTATATTACCCTATTTTAAAAAGATCAAACAAGTTTAATGGTCAAACGTATACGAAAAAAACATAATTACCTAAATATAAACAAAAACTAAAGTTCGATACCTTCCTAGGTTATTGACCCTTCTTAATACTTATGCATGTTTATACAAGCTTGTACGTATGTAACATTATTAAGAATTTTTTATTTTATCTTGATTATATTACATCATTAACAATAGTTTAATTTTAATAACATGGATTATTTTAGATATATTTCACATAGCTTGTTGATTGGAATATTAAAATTTAATTTATAATTTTTGTAGCTTCCTCCTTCCTTCACTATTTAACCCAATCAGTGCCAAACAGATCCATTCTAAATTAATTCATTATTTTTTTCCTTCAAAAGTCAAAACTAGCTTTCATTGGCACACAAACTGACAAAAGTTTTGCCTTAAAAATAAAGAAAAAGAAACAGAAACTTATGAATTCCATACAAGTAATTCCAACTTTTATAAAAAAACTACGTACATATATAGCCAAAGTCGATTCATCAATGGCCTGATAGTTACATCTTTTGTTTGATTAATTCGAATTCTATGGACTAAGAACACCATAAGAAAAGAACAACGATTATACATCTTAGAAATGGTCAGCAGTACTCCATGATTAGTTGACTTTACCAGCACCTTCTATGACTAAAAGAAGACTTCTTTTAAGGAGACGTATCATGGCTTCTCCATCTCTGAGATTTCAAAAGAAATAAAAAATCAATCTATCAATACTCAAAGCATCATAGTATGTATCTAATGCATGCCAAGAAATCAATATAATATATAGTTATATACGTATATAACTATATATTATATATACCTTCGATGAGAAGAAAATCTTGAAAACAAGGGTTGGGGAAGCCTAGGTCCTTCATCGTATCCTTCACAAATTACTTCTCCTTTATCATCTCTATAACATACTATACCACTAGATTTATCTTCAAACACCTGTAAATTACCATTGAAATATAGGTCAGTTTAGATCATAACATCCAACTTACTTGATCTTGACATCTTTTTGAGAAGATTCAGACCTTTTGGAGCTTGATATTGGATCTGATCTGAAGTGGAGGTGAAGATGGCTTTTCTGAGTCTGACTTTGCAGAAATGAATACCCTTTTAGAAGTTGATGGTGTTCGATTAGGCTTATGATGTATCGAGATTAACTGCATAGAGGAAATTCTTACGGCCATCGCTAATTATTGAGCTCAATTGTGTGGGAGAAGTGGGGAGGGAGATTAGAAGCAACAAAGCTGTGTGGTTCTTATATGTACGTATATATAATATTTATAGATGTAGTAAATTATCGAACCTTTCTTAGTATAACTAATACTATAATTGTATTGATGGGTCTGTTGACAATAAATTACAATATCTGTAGATAGAAAGAAAGTTCATGCTTAAACGATCTCCACAACTAACTAAACTGAGCCATGTTAAAAGATAAAAAATTCAGCCTGATTCATTATTTGTGGAGTGGGGTAGGCTTTTGTAATAATGATGGCGATTGATTTGAGTTAGTTTGTTTAATTAGTGGTAAAGGGCTCTCTAAGTTCTGACCATCCCCATTTTGCTGTTGTTCTATGCCATCATCTTTCTTTTTTTAATCTAATTAATTAAGTTTTTTTAAACGATCATCATATCTAGAAGATTGAGAATTTCGGGTTAAACTTTTTACGCATCAAATTTTGTTAATTTCTAACAAAATATTGGTTTGTAACTGGGCTATGAAAGTTGATAATAAATCAGATCGTTTAATGTAAATCAACCACACTGTCTTGTCACATCCAGGCATAACGTGGATATGGAGTGTGGGTTTGTGACGTGGCTCAAAACCACGAATCCATCTCACTTGTGTAGCATTAGATTACAAACCATCTTAATGCTTTAGAATTATTAACGTACCTTTTTAACATATACGGATTAATGATAATAAAAACAAGAATATAAGATGTTAAATGTAACATTTTCTTTTTTATGTTTAAACTGATCTTTTTGTTTCATACAAACTTGTGTGTTGATTTATTATTATTATTATTAGACAAAATTACAAAAATGGTCCCTGTGGTTTGCCAAAAGTCACAAAGTCAGTCCCTGCTAATTTTTTTTGATGCAAATGGTCCTTGTGGTTTGCAAAACTTGCACATATGACCCTTTTTACTAACTCCGTTAGTATTCAGCCGTTAAGGTAAGGTCATTTTCGTCATTTCAAGTATAAAGAGACTAAATTCGTGATATATGGTAAACCATAGGGACCATTTTTAAAATTTGTTTGAAAAAAATAATTTATCGGCTGAATGAAGAGGGGAAGGCTCGAACTCAAGACCTCCACCCCTTAAACAACCAAATCCTTAACCAGTTGAGCTGCATGCACATTTGTTTTATACTTTCCAAATACTAAGTTATATAATAACGAAACCGTTAAAACATAAAAAAAAAAAAAATTTACAAAAAACATTTTTTTACATAATTTTTTTTTAAATAAAACAAAATGTATTTTAGTCGTATTATAGAAAAAAATTTACAAACAATTTGTATTTCTTTTTATATATTTATTTACATAAAATGTATTTTTTATGTCTTTAAAAAATACGGTTTCGTATAAAAAATACGTTTTTGTATAAGAAATACGTTTTCATAAAATATATTTTTTATGTCTTTGAAATAATAATAATTAACACTACTCATGACCATGGTTGCAAAAATCGGGATTAATCAGCGATTAATCGTGAATTAAACCGTCGAGTATTAATGTATTAATCGGAAATTTATGATTAATAGGATTTGACGGGATTAATTGGTCTTGGCGGGATTAATTGGTCTACAAAAACCAAAAAAAGTCAAAAAAAATGTCAAAAAAATTTTAAACAAAAAATTCAAAAAATCAACTTTTTTTTTTACTCCAAAATTTTCAAATTTTCAAAATTTCAAATATTATACAAAAATGTTCATATTTTCGTATTTCAAAGATATAAAAACGTATTTTTTAAAGATATAAAAAAATATATGAAAACGTATTTTTTATACGATACCGTATTTTTTAAAGATATAAAAAATACATTTTATGTAAATAAATATATAAAAATAAATACAAATTGTTTGTAAATTTTTTTCTATAATACGACTAAAATACATTTTGTTTTATTTAAAAAAAATTATGTAAAAAAATGTTTTTTGTAAATTATTTTTTGTTTATGTTTTAACGGTTTCGTTATTATATAACTTAGTATTTGGAAAGTATAAAACAAATGTGCATGCAGCTCAACTGGTTAAGGATTTGGTTGTTTAAGGGGTGGAGGTCTCGAGTTCGAGCATTCCCCCCTTCATTCAGCCGATAAGTTATTTTTTTCAAACAAATTTCAAAAATGATCCCTATGGTTTACTATATATATCACGAATTTAGTCCCTTTATACCTGAAAAGACGAAAATGACCTTACCCTAACGGCTGAATACTAACGGAGTTAGTAAAAAGGGTCATCTGTGCAAGTTTTGCAAACCACAAGGACCATTTGCATAAAAAAAATTAGCAGAGACTGACTTTGTGACTTTTGGCAAACCACAGGGACCATTTTTGTAATTTTGTCTTATTATTATTATAATAATAATAATAATTATTATTATTATTATTAATTCCATAAATAGTTATTATGGTTGGAAACCGATTACACTTTAAATTCATTTTTTCTTTATATTTTATATTTTTCTTGTTTTACTTCTATTTCTAGCTAACTTTGTACTTTGTTGAAGAGAAATAGGTTGTTATGGATGTTTGAATATGAATTTAAAAAAAAAATATTATTGATTTATTAGTTTTTCAAAAAACCAATAAAATTAACAAAAAGGTATTTTCTTCAAAGGTTTTTTAAAAAAACTGACGCACTATTGATTTTTGAAATTTCTTTTTGTAAGTTCATCAAAAATAATTATAAAATAACTATAATTTTATCCAAATATTATATTACAAAAAATAAAACTTATTATTTTATATCTTCTTGCTATAAACTAATATTTAGTTTTTATAAAAAAAAAATTATTAAGTTAAATAAACAATTCAAATAACCTTTAATCTCATCAACCTCAACCCATATTTATTGCTTTCGGTTTCAATAAAAAAACACGTGGCAATATTGCAGTCTTTTTCTTTCACAAGTAAGACCAACCACATTATATTACTAAACTAGACGAATGTCCGCGCGTTGCGTGAGATATATAAAAATATTTTATATTAAAAATAACTAAATCATTGTTATTAACAATTAAATAATAATTTCATAAAAAATATAAAAAATGATTTTTAGTATTGTTATTATGTTGAACTATATTATAAGAGATAAGGTTGGGAACTTGAAGTTGTTTTGCATATACAAAGTTATATGATTAAAATAGAAAAAAATTAATTTTTAAAAATAAATAAATCGTTATTGTTATCTATTAAATAATAATTTCATATTAAATTAAAACGTTTATATTAAATATTATCATTATGTAGAAAATACGATAATAGAGACATCTTTTTATCTATCTTAAATTTTATCATTCTGTACAACATATGATAATAGAGACAATTTTTTATCTTAAATAGTAAAAAAAATGTTTTGTATCATAAATACTACCATAATTATGTAGAACATATGATAATAGTGACGTCTTTTATAAGGTTAAAACTTTAAATTGTATTACATACAGGGTTGTAAAACTTGGCTAACACAACCAAATACTCGACATGTTACTTAAACTCGGCCTCCAATGGAAGCGATTTTGCCTAACTCAGCCAGAAGACACTCGGATCCTTATTAAACTCGATCCAAATCTAAAAAATACGGTCCAAAATCATTTTCGAAATTCTGAAATTTAATTGGTCACTTGTCGACAAAGACAATCTCACCAAAGAATACATTCAACGTCCTACAAAGTTAGATGCAAGGAAGATCTCATGGCTTAGTCCCTTTGAAATATTTCACAACCTTTCCTATTTATAGAGGATAATATATTCTCTTGTTTACTCTCACGATCAATGTGAGATGAAGACATTTTAATTAAACTCATTTCTTTATTTGCCAATAATTTCATTTTGTTAAATAAAATATTAAATAATAAAAATAAAACGTTATCCAGAAAATTTATTGTTCAATAGTTCCATTTTTCAGTAATCTCGTAAGTTGCTATAAAAAATTAAGTTTTTATTGAATAACTTTTTGTTAAATCCTAAAATCATAAATTCAGTTAGGTACTTAATATAGAAAGTTTGTTTATATGTATTTTCATGATTCAAAATGTCATTATAAAATGAATTCATTTATAAAATATAATCGAATATATATTTCGTGCTTTTGAATCAAAGTGATTTTCCAAACAATTATAATTTTATGATTAGGTAGATTTTTTTATATTTATATAACATTATGTAACTAATAATATTATTATAAACAATTTGAATAATCATGGGAGTTTCAAATGTATGTGGTGAAAGGAAAATGCTTCATTTATCGGTCCAAATTGATCAAACTCGGACCGATTCAGCTTAATATACCAAACTACATAACGTTTTTTCTATTGAAACCCGGTTTGTATATATTTTGTGTTTTTGAATCAAATTTATTTTTCAAACAATTATAATTTTATGTTTAGGTAACTTATTTATAATATTATTAGAAACAATTTGAAAAATCATGAGAGTTTCAAATGTATGTGCTGAAAGGAAAATGCTTCCTTTATCGGTCCAAATTGATCAAACTCAGACCGATTCAACTCAATATACCAAACTACATTACGGTTTTTCAACTGAAACTCTGTTTGAACCTAAAAAAATCTTGTTCAAAACCATTTTCGGGATTCTAAAACTTAAATGGACAGTTGCCAATAAAGAAAATCTCAACAAAGAATACCCTCAACATCCTAAAAAGGTAGGCATGAGGAAGTTCTCATGGTTTGGTCCCTTTGAAACATTTCACAACTTTTCATATTTATAGAAGAGGAAACGTTCTCTTGTTTACTCTCACCATCGATGTGGGATGAAGGCATTGTAATAAAACACGCTTTCTTGTTTATAAAACATTATTCAACTTATTTAGTAAAACACCATTTCTCTTGTTTACCCTTTCTTTATTGTTCAATAGTTCCATTTTTCTATAATCTCGTAAGTTGCTATCCAAAAAAGTAAATTTTTATTGAATAACTTTTTGTTCAATTCTAAAATCATAAATTCAGTTAGGTACTTAATATAGAAAGTTTTTTTATATGTATTTTCAAGATTCAAAAGTTCATTATAAAAAGAATTCATTT